TAAATATGCATGGAGGAATCTACGTTTACTCAGAATTCATAGGGGAATTGCATACATGTCCTCTTATCTCCCCGACTATCTACCATTGTTTGTCTTGATCACTTGATCACTTGACTTCCCGTTAATCATCGATTTGCTAGAGCAGGCACCAGTAATGTCTCCATTACTCCCTGTCACGTGCTAGTGTAGCCCAATGGCATCTCTTCATTCTAGGAACATGAAGAGCCTCAAACCAATCGTTCAGGGTTTGATGAAGAACTCTGACCACCTTGTAGGTGAGGTGGGCAGCCATGCGGTCTTTTGACGTCCCATGGAATCCAGTCAGTAACAGCTCTACTCCAATGGTCGTCTTCAAATCTCATTACCCGTCCAGCCCATCTGAGTTTTGACACCTTGGCAAACAATACAGCATCCCTGATTCTTGATCGTCAACAGAGGTCGGAACTCCGAATTCTTTCTCTCATTTGAGTGAAACGTGATACTCCAAGCAAAGCTCTTTCAATTTCTCTTTGGGAGACCTGAATAGAGTTCTCATCCTATTTTAGTAGGGCCCAGGTCTTTGAGGTGTATGTTAATGCAGGAAGAACAGTGGCATCAAAGAGATGAGCCTGGTGCCTGAGGTTCTTCGTCCTCTTAGCTATTTCTTAGATGCTCTTGAAGGTGTTCCAAGCTGCTCTCTTCCTCCTGCGCAACTCAGGTGCCAGGTCATTCATCATGTTGAGTTCTCGACCTAGGTACACATAACTGTTGCATTCGGAGATGGGCGGTCCATTGAGAGCAAAAGGAACATCAGGAACGAGACTGTTTCTCATAAACATTGTCTTTGTGAGATTTAGCTGTAGTCCGACCTTTCCACACTCACAGTTGAAGTCAGCCAGCATTTGTGTCACTTGGCTAATGTTTGGTAGCACAGCGGGTAGGGCGTTTGCCTTACAAGCGGCCAACATGGCCGACCCAAGTTCGATTCCTCTGCCCCTCTCGGAGAGCCCGGCAAGCTACCGAGAGTATTCGATATGCCAGACACAGTAACAACAAAGTCTCCAATGGAGATGTTACTGGGCCCGCTCGAGCAAATCGACGATCAACGGGAGGGCCTTTACTTTACTTAATGTTTGGTGTTTATTAGAATGATGTCATCAGCAAAGCGGAGGTGGTGTAGTTGCCGACAGTCTAACTTCACTCCCATTCCTTCCCATTCCATTCGTTACATGATGTTCTCGAAAGTGGCACTGAATAGTGTCGGTGAAATGGTATCACCCTGCCAAACCCCTCTCTTGACATTGGTGATCACTTCTTTGTAGAATAGTGAGATCCTGGTAGTGAATCCATAATACAGCTCATGAAGGATCATGATGTATTGAGTTTGAATGCCCTGATTGGCTAGTTCTTCGATGACCGCTTCTGTCTATACTGAATAAAAGGCCTTCTTTATATCAATAAACATTAGACAGAGCAGCCTCTTGAACTCCCGAGAAACCTCAATGAGCTTGGTTATCATGTGAATATGGTCGATCGTGCTGAATCCTTTGCGAACCGGCTTGTTCACATGGTTGTCATTTATCTAGTGTTCTGCCAATCCTATTCAGGATGACTCAAGTGAACAGCTTGTAGATGACAGACAATAGGGCGAGATAGGGAGAGAATTGCCAATGTCGTGGATGTCTCCCTTCTTGTACAGTAGTACAGTCCTGCTGGTTTTCCACTGGGATGGAACTTGCATTCAGACAGGTAGTGTGTGAAGAGCCGAGGCAGTGTATTGATGAGTATTTACAATGGGTCTCATTCTTTGTCTTAGCTGAAGTTATTAAAGATAGATGTCTAAATCCACTGGGCAGGGGCAGGCAGATGGCTATTGTTCAGCATATATATATATATATATATATATATATATATATGTACATATATATATTATTGCAGGCAGAAAGGCAGATTGGGGGACCTGGTAATGAATTTTTAAAAAGTAATAAAACTAAGAAGAAATGGCCTATCCCTTAAGTAGTCCATAGGAATAAATAAAACATCCCATTAAGATGCAAGTTCTGAGCTCTTTAGGACATGAAGAAAACTGGGCCCACCCAAAGACGGGTGGACCCCTGAGTAAATGAGATTTTTCAGGAGAATCTAAAGACCATAATAATAAGAAAGGATCATCAAGAGAGCACTGTTTCTTGTTTGTTTGTTTTGTTTTTTCTCTATGTCCAGATTAATTTATGTGTGTGGAGAATTCTAAACCAAGACAATCTGGAAAAATTGTATATAACTCTCCCAAAACACATTCTCTGATTTTTCATTATGAGAAAATCCCAGATATTTCTTGAACATATATTTATTTCCTCTCCCACATCTGAGTAATTTTATTTCAATAAAATTATTTTTCTACACCACTGAAACTTCTCTTAAAATTCTTTTTGTGTGTGTGTGTGATGGAAGACTACATTCCTGAGAGGTTCTTGTGAAGTGAGGACAAAATTTCCCCTTCATGTGAAGAACAAGTCCTGGCTCCAGCTGGTTCTATAGACCCTGAGTCAATCAGTGCTGACTTAACTAGTCTTAACCCATGTTACTCTTTCCCTGGATTTTATCTTCTGGGTTTAATACCCAACATCTAGAGATGCAACTGTTAAACCATGTGATAGAACTATTACCTTATCTTATACTCTTTTATGATAAGACTTTTAAACCATTCAACATTATCTCACATACTGACATATATTTTTCTTAATTTTATTGAATCACCGTGAGATAGTTACAAGGTTTCATGTTTGGGTTACAATCACACAATGATCAAACACCATCCCTCCAAACAGTGCACATTCCCACCACCAATATCCCTGTTATACCCTCCCTTTCCCACCCTCACCCTGCCAACATGGCAGACATTATTCCCCATAATCTCTCTCTACTTTTGGGCATTATGGTTTGCCATACAGACACTGAGATATTATCATGTTTGGTCCATTATCTACTTTCTGCACACATCTCCCATCTCGACCAATTCCTCCAGTCATCATTTTCTTAGTGATCCCTTCTCTATTCCAGCTGCCTTCTACCCTTTGCTCATGAGGCAAACTTCCAGGTATAGAGCAATCTATCTGTCCTGTGTATCTACCATCCTTAGGTGTCAGCCTGATGTTATATTGTTTTATACTCCATAAATGAGTACAGTCCTCTGTCCCTCTCTTTCTGACTCAGTTCACTTAGCATGATACTCTCCATGTCTACACATTTATAAGCAAAGTTTATGACTTCACCTCTCCTGACAGCTGGATAGTATTCCATTGTGTACATGTACCAAAGTTTCTTTAACCAGTCATCTGTTCTAAGGCACTTGGGTTGTTTCCAGATTTTGGCTATTGTGAACAGTGCTACAATGAACATATGGTACAGATGTCATTTCTATTGTGCTTTTTTGCATCCTCAGTATATATTCCCAGAAGTGGTATTGGGGATGGAAGCAAACATAAACAAATGGTACTACATCAAACTAAGATGCTTCTGCACTTCAAAAGAAACAGTGACCAAAGTACAGAAAGAGCCCACAGAATGGGAAAGAATATTTACCCAATACCCATCTGATATGGGATTAATATCCAGAATATACAAGACATTAGTAGAATTATACAAGAAAAAAAAACCCTTCCCAATCAAAAAATGGAGAGAAAAAATGAACATAAGTTTCCTCAAAAAAGAAATACAAATGACCAAAAGGCACATGAAAAAATACTCCACATCACTAGCCATCAGGGAGATGCAAATAAAAACAACAATGAGATATCATCTCACACCACAGAGATGGGCACACATTCAAAAGAACAAAAGCAACCGATGCTGGCATGGATATAGAGGAAAAAGGATGCTCTTTCATTGTTGGTGGAAATGCCCACTAGTCCAGCTTTTCTGGAAAACAATATGGACAGTCCTTCAAAAACTAAAAATTGAGCATCCATATGACCCCACAATACATACTGACATATTTTTTAAAAACTCAATAAATATGACAGACAGTGAAGACAGGAGGGCTCAATAATTTTCACTCTCTCTGATATCATTTCCTTCAGTACATAACATTCTGAGTAAGCCTCCATTTTAAAAAGCACTCTAAATAATACTAACTTCAAGACTTGCTGAAACTTATGTTTATTTTTATAATTCTCTTAAAATTAAACTACTAGTTATTTCTAGTTTCTGGCTGTTATTTTTCCTTACTTTCCTCAAGTAAGTAATCAATACCAATGAATTTAAATAAAATTTAAATAAAAAATTATTTATTAAATGATATATTATTCTAAATTATTATTTTTGAATATATATTAGCTTAGTATGGAAAAAATTCAAAATGAGCAGGTAATATATTACACATACAAAATAATTAATACTTAGCACATTTATAAATTTAATAAACTATTTTTTTAATTTTCGGGGCACCAAACCCAGTGTTGCTCAGGAATTACCTCTGGCTCTGAAGTCTGGACTCAGTCCTGTGAATTTAGGGACTACATGGATTGCCAGGTACTGAACCTAGGTTTACCACATGTAAGGCAAGAGTCCTGTGCACTGCACTATCATTCCTACTCCTAAATTCAATACATCTATAGGACAAAATGACAGACAATCCAACTAATATGCACAAAGGTTTTTCTGACCTATTTTTGTCCTATTTTTAAAGGCAAATTATGAAGTCAAAGGAAATAAATTTTAAAAATATAACACAATTTACACTTTTTCCCCCAAAGTCAATTATATGGGAATCAGCATAACATAGGAAATGAAAGACTTTTATAAATAAAATTATAATCACTATAATATATGATACAAGAAAATAAAATCAGATTCCTTGATCATAGTTTGGAAGACTCAACATTGATTAAATATCCATTCTGCCAAAAGTGCTATCCAGATTCAAGCAATTTGCACAAAAATTCCTATAGAATTATTTTCTACTATGCAACAGAGCTTTAGCTAGAAGAATGAAAATATGGAGCACTTCATCTGTCTTAAAGGAAAATATGGGACAATTCAAAATTGCATGCATCTTTTCTCAGGAGTCATGTTAATCCTCTCTGAACTCTTCCAATTTTACTATATTTGCTGCAAAAATGCAAACTTTTTTTGTTATTCATTTTGGGGTTTGGAGTAAATTTATAAAGAGTAAAGTTTATAAAGAGTAATGCAACTCTTTGAATAGCTGAAACAATCTTGAGAAAAAATAATACTGGAAGCAATGCTTTCTTTGACTCAGAAATATACTATAATGCTGTAGTAATTAACATTGGTACATAACATAAAGTAGTATTATCATTAAAGTAGAATAGAGTTCAAGACTCAGATATGAAAACTCAGACCTATATATGTTAACAAAGAAATTAAATAAATAAAATAGAACAAGAAACTCTTCTTTAAGAATTCATGATAAGAAAAACTGTTAAACAAATGAGAAGGAGGAAGAGAAAGAGGAAGACGAGGAAGACGAGGAAGAAGAGGAAGGAGAAGGAGAAGGAGAAGAAGAAAACGAAGAAGAAGAAGAAGAAGGAGGAGGAGGAGGAGGAGGAGGAGGAGGAGGAGGAGGAGGAGGAGGAGGAGGAAGAATATTACATATTCTCTTTATCTGATACTTTCTGTGTTGGTCTGGGTAATTGTGCAGTCCCCAGAAGACAGAATCTGTATTTGTGTGCTTCACTATCTGTTCAATATTTAATAATAGGCATTAGGATATGTTGTACATTTAAAAAATATTTGGGGTTAGAGTTATTGTACAGGGTATAAGGAGCTCATTGCATGTAGTCATTCCTGATTCAATCCCTGGAACCTCATATCATTCCCTGAACACTATTAGGACTGATTCCTGAGCACAAAGCCAGAATAAACCCTGAGCGTCACCAAATGTAGTCTCAAAAACAACAACAAAAAAATTTTTAAAAAGTTTGTTATATTAATAGATTTGTTAATTTTTTTTAAAAAAATGTACTACTTAAGATGTAATCAGGTGAATAAGATTGTCTTTGAAAAGATTATAACAGAGATATGTATTTAGCTCAAGAATTGACTAAAATATTAAAATGATAATAATAGAAAATCATATCTCAGACTGAAGACTTGTTCCTGGATAGCATGCTCCATAGGTTTTGTCAAATTACTTGAAGTTGATAACTGCTTGTCTGTGATATGAGGCTTTATGGCCTCAAACATAGCAAACACACACACACACACACAAACACAGAGTATTTTCAAGGGCAAAATGACTTTGTTTTTATTTCTAAATCCAGTGACAGAATGCACATACAATATTACTTTTCTAAAATCATTTAAGATGATTAGATTCAGCCAAACAAATATCTATATTAGACCAATAACACCAAATCACCAATGCCCTGAATCAGCTCAGTCTAGCTGCTCATTTGGACTGGATCTAATTACAGACTGGGGGAGATTTGGATGAGAAAGTCATGGTGATTTTACCAATCTTTTCTAGGACTGAGATTTTAATTCCTTGGCATTGATTCATAATATCTTTTTTTCAAGATGACATTTAATTTGATTGTTGAAGAATTGAGTATATAATATGTAGGGATAACAAGAATGAGCATCCTTCCCATTCATCCGTCCATCCATCTAATATTAAAGATATGAAAAAATCTTTGCCTAGAGGTATGAAAGTGTAAATTTAAAAAGACATTGGTACTACAATGCTCCAAAGTAGAGGGAGATTATGGGGAATTTTTTCTGTCATAGAGGCAGGAAAGGGTTGGAAAGGGGGGGTGTATACAGGGGATATTTGTGGTAGGGAATGTGCACTGGTGGAGGGATGGGTGTTTGATTATTGTGTGATTGTAATCCAAACATGAAAGCTTGTAACTATCTCATGGTGATTCAATAAAATTTTTAAAAAGACACTGTATCTTAACTGATTTACCTTGTTAATGATAGAATAATAGTTTACATAAAGAAAACATCAAATTAAAACATTCACATATGTAGAAGTCTATAACAGAACACAAAAGTATAAATGTTCAGTTATGCTGGGACTCTGGGTGAGCACCAACTGGACTAGATCTTGAGCACTCCTGAAAGGCCCTAAGTAGGATCCTCAGTCGCCTCAGTATTTAAAAGCACAGGACAAAATCTATGGTATGATATAAAAATAAACAACTGGCATCAAAGAAGAAAGGATTCAGCATAACTTACAGAAAAACTTAGTTACTTGCTCCAAGGTCACAAAGCAAAGTGCTGAGTCCGGAATGAGAACCCAAGTCAAATTGGTCTCAGCCCCATGTTTTTATAAAATGCACTGGAAATATATCGTCAGGGGCCCCAACCTGAAGGCTGTGCAAGATCATAGCACAACCCAGTCCTGCCCCTGATAACTCTGTTTTTCTCTTGCATGGATGGAAATGTAACATATTCTCCTCCCCAAAAGGACAGAGTTCAATGTCTTCTCTGTGGGCATGTAGTTTCATCCTAAACCCTCCCGGTGGCTGAGCAGATGTCCTGCCAGATGGTAGCCACTTGGCCCTGGTCCCTATTGTGGCAGGCAGGCCAGGCCAGTTGACTTGTAATGGTTGTAAATGTCACTATCTCTCCTAGATCAGACAGCTGGACAGAAAGCCCAGAAAAATGGAGATGTTGGCCATGGAACACACGATCTTTCTGCCCAAAGGAAAGAAAATCAGTGTTTCAATACACATTGGGATTATGCCTTCAAAAAAGTTCTTTTTATTGTCCAGAGGCTCTAGTAACCTGGAAAATATGAAAAATATAAAATAAAAGTGTAATTTTTTTTAATTGCAAACATTTGTGGTTAGTTCAGATGTCTTGTTACCCAAGTTTTCCTGGTCAATCACCTACATATTTGTTTGCCTTTATTTTTATAATTACTTGTCACTCCTTGTGAATACGTCACTTATATTTCCTAATATTAATAAAAAAAACTCTGTTCTCCAGATAGTCACACCTATAAAGGGGGGGGCATATGTCAATGCTGAAAATAAGGCTAATATAAAACATGCCTATGCAGATCAATATATGACAAGTCCTACAATGGCCTAAAAGAGAAATCAACAACTTTCTTATTTCACATTTTTCATTGAGGAAGAAATACATTACTTCAAAATATAAGTAAACTTAACTAGGCAGGCATAAATTTGAAGTAAAAATTTCCTAAGAATTAAGATTTATTGCTTTGGATAGCAATAAATAATCCAATAAGATCAATGTGCAGAAATATTTATAGTAACTGTATGAGTTTGCTTTTCCCATGTAGCAAACTGTGCCTAAGATCAAATGTACAAAACAATAAACAGTGGGGTTCTGGTTTTGTCTTCCAGACTTGCTCACTCATCATTTCAGAGGACTCTACTAAAGAAAGCACAATTTAACAGGAACAGCTCTGAGTAATTGTACCTTCATCTCTTAGAATTAAAAGAATACTTTAAGCATCTTATTCTTGTGGTTATTGCAAAAGTACAAGGGCAGTTAGCCCTTATTTGTAGTTTTTGAGATGTTATTTTGATTACCTATGGTAATATCTCTATAGACAAATCATGCCAATATGGTTGGACAACAAAGTAGAGAGTGAGTCCCATGATCAATGGGAAACCACTTTTTTGCATGAGTGCAAAAATAAGTAAAACATTGATGACACTATACATGGGGAATAGCTCTAATGTGGTATGAAAAGGAGGTATAAAGCATATCATAGCGGAAACTAATAAACACAAACACTGGCCTCCAGTTGTTCATCGATTTGCTCTAGCGGGCCCAGTAAGGTCTCCATTTTTTGAGAATTGTTGTTACTCTGTTTGGCATATTGAATATGTCATGGGGAGCTTGCCAAGCTTTGCCGTGTGGGCAAGATACTCTTGGTAGCTTGCCGGGCTCTCTGAGAAGGGCAGAGGATTCGAACCTGGCTTGGCTAGGCTGGCTGGGCTCAAGGCAAATGCCCTACCACTGTGCTATCACTCAAGCCCAGCAGGAACTATAGGAACATGCTAATGGATTTTTCACACCATCCGATCTTAAAGGCAAGGATGGGATGCGTTAAAGAATTTCAGTAAGTACAAAGCAAAATTAGATTTATGTTTGAAGAAAATCTCTTCAGTCTCTATTAGAATCAGCAGATTCTGGTGGTTATGCAAAATAGAAACAAACACAAAGAATCTTCAATTGAAGGCATTTCAATAGGATAGGAGTAACAGAGACAATGATTTGGGTGCTATATTAAGGGAAAAAATGGCATAATATATTGTACCTGCAAATATCCATGTAAACACCAGAACTCCAGGAAAAAGAACAGTATAAGATTTTTATTTTAATTATTTTGGCTAATATAATCTACACACACACAAACAAACACACATACACATGCACACACAAATTCAAGGACACAAGATGCATAAGATTTACAGGAAGAAAGTAACAGTACAGTAGATCATGTTTAGAAATTAGCAGATTTTGAGGTTTTTTTTCCCCTTGGGAAGAAAATGGCCTGAAGATTATTAAAATTGATAGGAAGAAATTTCTAGTCTAGAGATACAATAGCAAGAATGGCCTTAAAAGGACAGGACTACATGATGGGGCCGAAGTTACAAGGGTACTGACATTGATAACTTGGATCGTATGATCATAAATCCTTCATCCTGCTTCTTTGGAACTGCTTGTCAGAGGAAGCATTACAACTTTTTTTTAGCAAGAAAGAATAAGCAAAAGCTCAATCAGTAGCACTGGGAATCTAAGACTTGTTGCAAGTTATATTTTCGCAAGAAATATAGACATTATAGACTACTATCAAAGAAGCTGATGGCCTGCCAATTTCAAGATTCCTACCTTGTCTATACCAAAACTATTCTCTATTTTTCAAGTAATAAGATAGATGTTTCACCCCCTCCTTATAGTTGTATAATTAAATACCCCCTCAAAAAATAAATAGGGACAGTGAGGTACAGCTGAGCATTGTTCCTAAATATCTCTTAGTAAATGCTATAGTAAAACCTTTTCATTCTTGCAAAAGCCTGTGCAACTGTTCTTGGCTTTCTGATATAACAGGAAATGCACCTATATTTGGATTCAAAATTTGAAAGTGATTGGTTTTACATGATTGTGTATGCTG